AAGAGTGACTATATCGAGATGCGACTGTATATTAGTCTAAAATATTTTTTTATTATTTTACTAACAAAATATAATTTTTTTAAATCTTTAAGATGAAGCTACGCTTTTAATTTTATTAAAATTTATTTAAACTTCTTTTATAAGAAAGAAAATATATAGAACATAATGACTTAGTGAAGTAGTTAAGTTGTTATATCTCAAGTGATTGTTGGCTAGATAGAAGGTTTGAAATCCACTAGTGCTGAATTTCGAATATTCTATCTGTATAATAGCTACTGTTTTTTGATAATTAGTTGAAACAGAATCTTTGCAATCTTGGTTATACCAACAAAATTAGAAGATCATAGAGCATTTGTGTGATATATAAGTTATATGAATAAGCCTTCAGATCATATTAACCCAAGGAACTAAAAAAAATAGATGTTCGTTTGGCAAGACCTGAGTAGAGAGGTAGCATAGATCTTTGACAATACTATATAAAAGATCATCATCAAAAGAATTAGCAAAACTAAACAGGACTGAAGTGTTTGGCAAAGTACTTCATCAACCAGACTGCCAAAAGAGTAATCAGAGAAAAAGAACTCAACTATGGCAACTAAGAGCAGGTCACAGCCCTTTTGGGCTATTTGAATTAGTAGTTTAGAATAGTTAAAGATATTGTTAATAGTTTGTAAAGTATGTACTAGGTTTGAATGAACTTTACAATAGCAGAAGTAGGTAATAATAGTAGTTTTAGCTTGCAAGTACTTGTCCTTAAACTTGGCATAAGTTATTGAAAGTCTAGATTAGCTAGATTGTAGGTATAAAAAGCTCTAGCAATAATGCCTTGAGAATAAATTAGTCCTAAGAGTATAGAGAAAGTATTTGGTACTTTTTAACTAACAATTGTAATGAAAATATCCTGGTAATACAAGTAAGGTTGTATTACAGAAAGTTTAAATAGGTAATATCTATAGTTAGATTATAGATATAGTATCTAGTGTAGAATCTATATAGATAGACTACTTAAAATAAATACCAAAAGTATATATATGACTAATATGTATTTTCTAATATAGAAGTTCTTGATGACTCTCTATCTAAAACTTTGAATAAAAAAATCTTAGTTCTAAAGTTTACAGAAAATTTCAAATTTTCATTTTGCTCTGCATGCAATAGTAAATAGTATCGTATTAGTAAAGCTAAACTGACAAAATCAAAGTTGACTAAATCTACAAAATCAAAGTCGACTAGATCAACAAACTCAAAATCG